TACAAAATGTCGTCTTACCTTTGTACCGAGTCCAGTCGTGACGAAATCTTATTGCACTGAATACTGTTCCTCGTTCACATACGATGCAGAGTCGATACAAGATTCTTGCACGATAATGAATCAATCAAACATCATGACATGAAGTGGTTCTTTGTCAGTCGATTTTATAGCATTTTTCGTCCAAGAGACAAGGTTTGCTTCTCTCGAACTTCCCGGAAGAGTTTTGTCGTTTGTAATTCCGCTGTGCAGAAGTACCTGAAGTCTGGCTCAACCCGGAAAKGRWTGTTTTGATTTATGTAGCTATGACGACAGGGTTTCACTTTATACATAGATTTGAATAAATCTAAGAATTTCAAAAAGTCCCTTTAAGCCTCCTGACACAAAATGAATATGATTTGATAAATAAATGTGCCAGTTTGGTAGCTACAATATGATTTATTGTGTATATCAACAATGAATCGAAGAATCAATGTTTGATCATTTGAGAGATAAAATTAAAGATTTCAGTGAATGACAACTGAAAGAGTGAAATATAGAAAGAAACCATACTATTGTACATAATGTCACTATAAAGATATTTAACATTTTATATGTTGTAATTTTAATATTTTTTAAAAAGCTATAGATTGTTTCATTAGATCATACATAGTCATAATAACAAGCAATCCTGTAATCTTGAATGTTGTCTCCTTTAAAGGCATCAATTCAAGTAAAATGCTTTCCAACTTTCCGTCCTTCATTTCATTGCTTCTTATTGGTGGGATCCCTGTGTTGGTTCCTGCGCACATAATATTTTCTTGTACGCACATGAGGACAATACATTTTATCGAACGAACTCGTTTGGTGTAAATTTAAACTAGACGCATAGCTGCGTGAACTCGGGGTTCTGCTTGAATATATCATAAAACGATGAAGTGACAACAATGAGTGTTGTAGTCGAAGAATTGAGAAGAATTGGACTATATTGAACCTTAATAAAGTTAATGGTCATACTATCAAAAGGCGTAAAGCAAAAAATACTTCCTGGAATAAAAAATAAAAAAAAAAAACAGTGTACTCAGCATAAATATCATGAAAAAATTGATAATCAGCAAGCCGGTCTTTGATAGTCACATGACAGGCTGTARACACAGAGTCTTTTATCTTCTCCGCTCTTCCATTCGTCGGCTTAATCTGTTCGCATTCCTTAGACGAGACCTTAGTAGTTTCAGAGCCTGCATAAGTTCGTATACAGTTCGCTTGTGATAAGATAGGTGCTTGTTTGATAGACAATTCTCGATAGACTCTCGATAGACAGTAAGATAAATTCTCGATAAATTTACGTTATCTTCTGAAATTCCTTTTTCGGAAAAACGCTGGTCATATTTTAGTGTGGCTATGCCACGAAAGTGTGGATATTTTTAAGTGATTTGAGCGTATTTGTAGGCGTTGAATTTCTGTCTTCTTCCACCTCGCGTATTACAGTCTCGCCGACTATTCTCATCGGTTTGCACATGAAGTCATCAGTCGAAAAAAATTCTAAAATCACAGACACACAACATTAAAGTACTAAAATACCTTGAAGAGCATAATAGAAGTTCTCTCTGAAAGTTTCAACTATTTTTGCTGTTTATTCGTTGAGTTATTAACGTTCAAAAATATGTCACGCAATACTGTCAAGCTACTTGAAACACGCCAAATTAACCTCGGAAAGCCTATAAATCTTAAAACAACTATAGTCTCAGCATTAAATTAAATTTTTAGAATGATATTGTTAGAAAACTGAAGCAAAATCATTACTTTTGAGCTTATTTCGACACTCGGAGTTACTGTCCGCGTGGTTGTGTACTGGATAGTACACCATCAGGGCTTTCCCATACATTCCCTTGTAAAGTAAGACCATATTCAAACGCTTATATTTTTGCTAAAAAATCGCAGTTTGACTNCTATAAACATCAAGTATTTAACAGTTTCCTATCATTACATGCATAAAGAGTCATGAAAAGTAAGACACTTTTTACCTCAAATTCAGGATGACATCATCACCGATCAAGAAGAAAGGAGCCCAGTACATGGGATCCCTGTGGCCTTCCTTTCTAATGTCATGCATGGCTCTATGAAGACTTACACTCGCACTTTCACCTCGAGTCAGATAACCGTAAAAACTCACCATGAAGCTAAAAGTTACACTGTCATCGATTGCCCACAATGAMGCTACGACAGAACGAGCTCCGGCCGCAAGGAAAGCACGACTTAGTCCAACCATACCCTCAGCCCTAATCTTCCCACGGCCACTGTAACAACAGCTTAGCACAACAAGTTGAGCTTTGATTCCTATTTGTTGGACTTCTTTCATCGTCAACAGGTAGTCATCTTCTTCTGGGATACCTTGTCTTTCTGACGAGACAGTTGGTGCCAGCGCTATTTCACCATTGTCACAGCTCCCGTGTGCAGCAATGTGAATTACAGCTGAGCCTTCTTTCAGTTTTTCTAAAATCGCATCTTTGGTAGCTTGTTCGGCAGTCAGTGTGGTCGACTGTCTAAGCATAGCAGAAAGAAAGCTGACTTCCCTATTTGCTGAAGGTAAACTTGCAAACAATCGTTTCTTGCCTCTGAACATCACCTCTCCGACACTAGGATCTCCTACAATCAACCCTCCTTTTTGGCTGTGATGATCCACTGGACATTCATTTAGGGTCTTTAATACTGCAATTGATGGAGCAAGACGAATGCGTTTGGTGTCTGACAGATACTGTCCTGTGTTGGGATCCCTGAGGGCTGCAAATGGTACCCTATACATTGGTCCATCGGGTACTATGACAATCTCGTCGTGTCGTACGTCTGATAGGAMAGGTGCAACTAAACAATTGTACAACATTTCAAGTGGGTGTGACGCTTSATCGAGGKTCTCTTCACTGGTACCATCATCACGTGACAGAGATTCAGATTTCGATGTAACGCAATCATCAAGTGATCTGTTTTCACAAGTGACGCTTTCTTGGATTCTCATCATTTCATATGCTCTTGTAATAGTGTCAGTAAAGTAACGTTTAATGGAGTTTTCATCACCATCTTTCTTTTCTTCAGTCAATGTTTCTATGGCAGAATCAAACTGTTCCTTTTCAGTTTCTCTGAACATCAGTGAGTCTTTRGCTAAAACCCACACAGCCAAACTGTTGCTTAGTAAGCTGTAATGCAGTATCGAGAAGACATCTTTAAAGAAGATCGCTTCAACATCAGGATAAGTTAGTGGCTTAGCTAATGGCATTTCTTGCTGAATTATGCCGTATTTAAACAACAAATGATCTCCTAAAGCACGTGCTCGTCCACCATCAGATACTAACAGAGCCTCTTGTAGTTGCTTTGTCTCGATTAGAACGGTGGTGAGTAGCTTGTAAGCCTTATTGAATGTATCAAATATGGAGACTTTGAAATGATCCCGTTGATGGAGATGTTGAAACAAAAAATCAAAACAAACAACAGCTTTTTTCAAGTATTCTTCTGATTTAGCTATATTATCATCAGTATTATGACATGCTTGATGTCCTTGGTTTTCTTTGTGAAATGAATAGTATGTTCGACCCAGAAGATAACAAGCATTACCTTCAAGTTCTTTATTGCCGATAGTTGAAGCGATGTCAAGGCATTTCTTCGATAAACTTAATGCAGTTTGAAAATGATTTTTGATTATATTGTTTTCAGCCATAGAATAATAAATACTTGCCTCAAGACCTTTGTCATTTAATTCTTTAGCAATAGCAAGACTAATGTCGTAGTTTTTATTCGCCTCTTCGTATCGATGTAATCCCGTTAAGCATCCGCCAATGTTTACTAAGGTGGTCGCTTGTGTTTGTTTATCATCGATTTCTATAGTAATGTCCAAGCATTTCTGAAAAAAGGGAATGGCATCTGAATATATTTTAGAATAATTTATCAAAGAATTTCCCAGTCCAAGATAACATTTTGCTTGAAGACCTTTATTACTGATCTCTATGCTGATAGTGAGGCTTTTCTGGTACATCTCAACGGCCTTATCAATATCATTCAGGGTCTTGTATATTGTTCCCAAATTAAGTAAGCCAGTCGCTTGATCTCTTTTTCTTCCAATTTTAACACTTATCCTGAGACTCTCCTCTAATAGACGAATTGCATCATGGTACTTTCCTAGCATCTGATATGATAATGACATGTTTGTATAACAAAGCCCTAATCCTTCTTCATCATTCAGTTGTTTGTACATATCAACAGCTTTTTTATGGCACTTAATACTATTTTGATAGTCACACAGGTCATTGTAAGCACGACCAAGGCCATCATAAGAATCTGCAGTGAGTCTACAGTCACCGATTCTTAACGCAATATTGAAGCCTTGTTTTGAATACTGCATAAACTTTTCATAATCTCCCAGTTTACCACACGCAATGCCAATGTTATAACACATCGCACACTCTAGTTTYTTGTCACCAGTCTCTTGTACTATTTCCAGTCCCTTCTCATAGTAATCAGCAGCCTCGTGATAATTTTCTATATCGCAGTAAACGTCAGCCAGTTTTGCTAGCGTGCTAGTTTCTTCCTGTTTAGAGCCATTCTTCTGTGCAATCATCAGGGCCTTTTTAAAGTATCTTATGGCATCTCTAGTTTCACCAGCTTGTAGTTTTGATTCACCGATAGAATATGCCTTCGACCATTTCATGTCGTCTCTTTAAAGTCTTCAGTATATCAAATTGGGCTTCCTGTGTTTTCAAAATGGCGACATTATATCAACTTGAACTCAAACAGTAAATACATTGATTTTAAGAGTAAGTAACTCATGATAATGTTCTAAATCACTAATATGATGAATAGAATAAGTGAATCAAATAGAATTCCTACAAATATTTAGGGAAATTTCGTTATAAAATCGAACATAGTGTTCATTCGACGACATTCGACTAATTCTTCGTTTGCACGTTACGTTATAGATCCAACAAAAATGAATTTAAACTGAATTTTTCATGAAATCGATTTTACTCTAAAATATAGTTTAGAAA